TAGAGGTTGGTCTTCCAATGCTATGCTTCCCAACAGCATTCCATCACATGCCACTATTGATAATTATGTGAGTAATTGTAATGCCACTCCGTGCTACGAAATAGCATTGTTCTACTTTCCCGGACAAATAGTTTATAAAGGTAATCATCAGATATGTGAGTAATACCAAACCAGAAGCAAGGATTTCTTTCCTGAGGTTACCTTCAATTCCTCTAGCAATCAGGGTTCTGGCAATAAAAGGGTAGCACAGAAAGAGAAGCCAATAAAAGGACTATTTATAAAACGAGGACAGGGTTAAAGGAACCAACAAGGATAGTGAAGCACCCTGAAACTAGCAACAGTGGGGAGCTATTATTCTTAGCTTAAAGGATCAAGGGAAAAAAGAGCTTATTAGAATCCTGCAAGAGCTGTATACTATAGGATAGGGCCACAGCCAGGCATTGTGGGCTCTTCTGCATTAGTTGCTCAAAATACTAGTCTAAATGAGGTGTAAACAAACTTTAGGCACCCCTTCTGAACATTATACTCATGTTTTGAGAAAACTATTAAGGAACAACATAAGGTTATTTGTAATATGTATCTTTTCTTAGTTACTGAATTTGCAGATAGGACCAATTTGTGAGTTGTATACAGGAGCCCTGTTACCAATTCTCACATAAACCATAAAACTACCATGTCAGGATCAGGGAAATAGAAACAGCCTTTTAACATATCAGATGAGCAAATCAAGCTGGATAAAATGGGTTGTGCACTGCCTTCCTCAACTTTTTTTAAAAAATATTTTTATTGATTCTAGAGAGGAAGAGGAAAAGAGAGAGAGAAAGAAACATAAATCAGCTGCCCTCCATACATGCCCTGACCTGGGACCAAGCTGGCAACCTTTTGGTGCACATGATAATGCTCAACCAACTGAGCCATTCTGGCCAGGCTCAACCCTTGTGTTTAAAACTTCCATCCTAATGACTTGTTACTGATTCTGAATGAGATACATGTTCTACCTCTATCCAGTAGAAAATAGAATTTTCCTATATGTACTTTGAGAACATGGTTTTTACCTCATAGAAAACTGGACATAATTAGTAAGAGAAAAAAATAGGGCTTTTTAAAAAATTTATTGACTTTAGAGAGAGGGAGAGAGAGAGAGAAAAAGAAACATCAATTTGTTGTTCCATTTATTTATGCATTCACTGGTTAATTCTTGTATGTGCCCTGCCTGGGATTAAACCCACAAGCTTGATGTATCAGGATGACGCTCTAATCAATTGAGATATCCTGTTAGGGCCAAGAAAATATAGGTTAAGATTTGAAAGTCCAAATCATAGTTATAGCAGATGTCTTCCAACATTTAACTAATTTATATTTAACAAACCTATAGAACAACCAACTCAATCACATAGAGTTATACTTTGCAACTAATTTAGGTTGGAAGATTCATCAGGAGATTACATTGCTTAAACCTATATGTTCTATAGACTAAAATACTGTCCTTACGTTTTATGTTAGTCATTCTGTCTTGCATAGAAAATTGTGAACCTTACCTATATAGAAGTTAAAATTTTTTATGTCACCGAAACTGGTTGGGCTCAGTGGATAGGGCGTTGGCCTGCGGACTGAAGGGTCCTGGGTTCGATTCCGGTTAAGGGCATGTACCTGGGTTGCGGGCACGTCCCCAGTGGGGGGTGTGCAGGAGGCAGCTGATCGATGTTTCTCTCTCATCGATGTTTCTGACTCTCTATCTCTCTCCCTTCCTCTCTGTAAAAAATCAATAAAATATATTTTTTAAAAAAATTTTTTATGTCTCCAATTTTTAAAAATTCAGCCTTGGCTAAAGTTGAAACCTGAGGCCACAGTTTACAATTAGCCTTTTATTAAAAAAAAATTGAAAGAAGGGAAAAACACTGCAAAGCATAGAACAAACCATTATGGGTTATTTATAGAGTAAAAGCAGGAATATACCATATTTTTCCATGTATAAGATGCCCCCATGTATAAAATGCCTCCCACTTTTCCAACCCAAAAGTAAGAAATCAATATTTTAAACATAAAACAGAACACATTTTTATTTAGTAATTACTGCGGTAATTTTTACATACAGTACTATGATATGCAGCATATCATTTTATTCAGCCTCTGTTGCATCGCTGCTCTCTTCTTTATCACTATTAGTTCCAGACATATCAATTTCTTCAACTTCTATTGTATCACTGCTATCTTCTGAGTCATTGTCTATATATGTGAGATCACCCTCAATCTTTTGCATACCTGGTTACATTCAGTTTGAATTTTGCAGAGTAAGACAATCACTTACCAGTTTTTATCTTGTTATTTTTTGACATCTTTATGGGCTCAGAAAGCTCCAGTCCCTGTTGCATCTGTGCACTCTCCACCTCTACCTCCAATTACGACATCAGCTGACGTCACTAACAATAAGGCTCGCGATTGGAGGAAGCCTGTTTGACAAGGTAGGGGCAGCTAGGCACCCGTGCAGCTCCCTCCTTGACAGACTTCCATGTATAAGATGCCCCTCGATTTTCAGTCTAATGATTTTAGGGAAAAAATACCATCGTATACACAGAAAAATACTGTAGTTACATAACAGATATTATGAAGACACTAAGAATATAAGATAATTAGGTTGGGATGAAGGGCTTATCAAGCCATATATATTCTTATTCTATACCATATCATCAAATTGGGTAGTTTGTAAAAAACTTACCTGTTAGCTACAATATTTTTGTTACATAATTATTATGTGGCAGTCAACCTTGAAACTATATGCTTAATTGCTTAGCATGTAAAATTAAATGTATGCACTGTATGTTTATTTTATGGACATTGAACTTGAATTTCTTTACCAACCATGTAATATTTAACCATTAGCTATGACTTCACCAATCTAACTAAAATTAACTCAACCAGTACAAATTTTAAAATCCCGAAAATTCTTTGGAGTTAGTATAAAGCAAATGCTTTCCTCTGCATCAATTGTGGTGCAAGTAAAATAATGATTATAGCAGACACACTTTTTAACCACCACGTAGAATCCCAACTTTTTCCATGCTAACCACCTCTGAGTTGATGGTCAAAGCATATGGACCTGCCATTACTGGCAACATAAAATATCTTCACTCCAGGGTCTTATTGAAACCTCTGACCTCAAATTTTCTATTGCTTAGTTCATATCAAACACTGTTTCAAGAATAACATACTTGGAGGATTATCAGAAGGAAATTATCCTCGTTTCAAACTGGGAATTCCAAGTTTCCACTTTATGAAGGCTCATGAGGTAAATTTTTCTGAAGTCGGAGTATCAGGAAAAAATATGCCTCTCTCTTGACTGATCTCACAAAACACTATAAAACTCTACTTTGGCTAATTTGTTACATTGTTCCACTACCCTATTTTCCCTCTCTTTAACATACCTGTTGCCTCATTTATTTATTTTTGTCTTGTGTTATAGTATGTATTTTCTGTACGACATCTTAAATTTTCTGTAGAATAATACAGGTATAAATAAGTAAGAATACATAATTTTCAGACGACAGAAAGGATCAATGCTTAAGGGGTCAGAGGTGAAAAAAGAAAAGAGAATCTATGACAGCAAACAAGTACAAGGACACCAACAGAACATTTGAAAAGATTTTGAGTCATTGAAGCCAAAAGTATGTGCCCACCAAAGCAAGTGCCAAGAAGTTCTGAAAGGACGAACTGTTCTTCAACAATTTTTTCAATACAGCAAACACATAAGCTTTGTCCATAAAGCTCTTAGGTCTGGGCTTGCTTATGTTCCCTAAATAAGTGCCCTTTGTGCATGGAGCACAAGAAAATACATATATTCCCTGTCCTGGTAAGGTGTGGACTTAATTTCTACATTATACAACTGATTACAATGATCAGCAAGGAGCCTACTGCCCAAGAACCGAATTGAATTGGATGTTCAAAGCCACAAGCCAACGCCTGCAACTTGTTCTTTTACTTTTCAGCCCCTCAGTGTGTTGGCTGTGTGTCATCTGGCTTTTCAGTTCAGAACTTCTACTGGGCTCTAGGAATAGTTTTGCCAGTATACATAAGTCCAGCAAATTTATTTCTACCTTCATAACAAGACTGGAAGTGAAACTGCAAAACAGCTTGTGAAATATCAAATTACTTCCCGGAACTCCTGTTTGATAGCCTGTACACTGTGAAGTTATTTTTGCTCTTTTTTTTTTTTTTTGGTTTGTTTGTTTTGTTAATCCTCACTTGAGGATATTTATTCCATTGCTTTTCAGAGTGGGAGTGGGGAGGGAGAGAGAGAGAGAGAGAAAAAAAACATCAATGTGAGAGAGACACATGGATCCGTTGGTTCCTGTGGGCGCCTAGAGGGGGTGGGTGGCAGGCCAACGCTCTAACCATCGAGCCACCGGCCAGGCCTTACACCTCTTCTATTTGACCAGCCTCTTCAGAATCCTGCGAAATGCTTTACAAACACTTTCTTGGATGTCAGGTGCAAAACTAGATCCCTTTCAAGCTACAGATAAGGAGAGTGAGACATTGCCTAATACAATGGCCTGTCCCAGATGACATGCTGAGGAAGTGGTAGAACCAGAACCTGGTCGCGGTGCCTGCCATTGTGTCTGCTTCTGCAGAACCCATGATCCCATCCAAGGGGCGATACCCCGCGGTGAGACAGCGCGTGCGTCCAACAGGAACCAAAGTCACGGGCACTTCCGAGGAACTCGGGTTTTTAGAAATGTCTCGGGGAAAACTCCGCAGAAGACAGGTTGTGCAGGTGTGCGGTGCGGCCTCAAACTGGTCCCACCGGGAAGGGTTTGCAAAACAGGAAGGTGCAGCAGGGTGTGCCGCGACTCAGCTCACCTGGCACTCCCCCACCTCTCTCCCGGCGCCCCGGTGCCAGGTTCCTGCTGGCCCGGGGCCCGCAACGTCCTTTCTCCGTGACCGGCGAGGGTGCGTTCCCTTCGCCCTCGCGCCCCCCTCCTCCCTCTACCCGTCGCTACGTTTACCTGACACATCTGGGGGCCGTGGAGCCGAGGCCGGCCGACCCACGAATGAACGCCCGCAGGGCGCCCCTACTCTCTGCAGCGGGTAACAGCGCCTGGGCCTCACGCATTTTGTTCTGTCGGCACCTGTACAACAACTTATTCAACGTGGTCAAAGTTGAGCCTCACAGTCAGCCACCGTGAGGGTCAATCCGACACATGAACAGGCCAACAGCAATCAAGACCCAATTACGACAGGAGGGTCCACATAACCCACACAAGGGACATTCCTAGAGCATCCGGCTCTGGAGAAAAGAAGACTGCAGCACTGGACCCACAGGGCACCTACTACGTAAGGCCACCAAACGAAGAATAGGAATCATAGCAGAGCTATCTAATACATAGAAGCAGAAAGAAAGGAGCACCCAAAACAGGGAAATACAG